TAAAATGCTATAGTCATTTATAGTAAAGAGAAATATTTTGACATAAGCATTGTGCATATTGTATATATATTTACAACTCTTCATTAATAAATGACACTACATAATACAGTCATTTATAGCAGTGCTTACTATAAATTACTAGGGATGTAGCGGTATTGTAAATACCGTCATACCGCAATATTAATTTTTTTCGATATTACCGTAGTCGCATGACTCTGTAAAACTATAGATCTTCTAAGAAAATTTGCTCAGGCGAATGAAGCGAACGGGAGGTAGCGAAAACTACAATTCCCATCAGCCCAGGCTTGGCCATAATCCCTTGCGGTCTGTTGTTGCTACAGATCCAGTAATGCGGAAATGGAGTGTGCTGCTAGAAGCGGGGATGAAAAAGAGCTGGAAAACCCTAAAGCGGGTGTTGTCGCCGCGCGCGTACTGAATAGCGGTGTTGTCGCGCAGTTCTTATCAGCTGTGTTGTCGCGCGCGTTCTGATCAGCTGTGTTGTCGCGCGCGTTCTGATCAGCTGTGTTGTCGCGCGCGTTCTGATCAGCTGTGTTGTCGCGCGCGTTCTGATCAGCTGTGTTGTCTCGCGCGTACTGTAAAGCGGGACGGAGGGTATGTCGCATCGCGGGGGCACTTTTGATCATTTTGGAAGCGAACTTTCTATCCAAGACTAAAAAGGGCATGTGCACTGCACAGGTTGAGCACTGTGTGTGCACGTGCCTGCAAGTTGGGGAATAGGACTAATAATCAGTCATGGGGACTGCAGAAACACAGCACACTGTTCAGATTGATGCAGACATGAGACCTCTATCTCACTCATGGTTTGTCCTCTCAAGTGGTGGAAAGACAATGCACAACGTTACCCACTGCTGTCAGCCTGGGCCAAGTCATATCTCTCTTGTCCCCGAAACCTCAGTCCCAAATGAGAGGGTTTTTTTCTGTTGCAGGGGACATTGTAAATGCCCAGAGATACCAGCTTTTACCAGATTATAGTTGTATGATAATTTTCCTTTAAACCCATCTCTATCTAAGTGAGTGAGTGATTAAATGTTGAATGTGAGGAGTTTTCAACAATACTAAATTGAAACTTTTTTTTTTACATGGTTTAATATTTTTTTGTTATTAAAATTGAAGTTCCTGTTTCAAATCTTACAGATAGATGGCTAATTTGTATGTCATTGACACTTTTGGCACTTTTTTTGGAGTATTTTCATAAGTTTTGTTTTTTCCTGTAAATGATTCAATAAATACTGTACCGTGACATTCATACCGAGGTATTACCGTACCGTGAAATTCTGATACCGTTACATCCCTATAAATTACTAAAGTATTTTTAAAGCACAGCATCAGAAATTAAGTTATTGCATCTTAACATGTACTTCTCAAGGTATGCTCACGAAAAATCTTACTTCAGTTCAGAAATAACTCCTCTCTCTCAGTCATCTTTCCATCAAGGAAGTTTCTCGTGTTAGCCTAAATTGGTTTGCAACTTTACCGACCAGAGGTGGCAGTAACGCACCAAAAACTTTGTTGTCGAACACCATAAAACAGGAAGAAGAAGAAATCATGATTCTCGCCATCATATGGATTTACTTTCTTCGGCTAGACACCGTCCTCACAGCTCTGTGAATGTTGCTGCCGTCACTTATTGATCCACGATTGGTAAATGTAGCTTTGTGGTAGGGCTGCACGATATATCGTTTCAGCATCGAAATCGCGATGTGCGCATCCGCGATAGTCACATCGCAGGAGGGTGCGATGCAAAAAAAAAATAAATAAAAAAAAAAATTATATATATATTATGGGTGGAGCCGAACCGGAATACGGTATTCGGAAAAGCAGGAATAGCGTGTTTTTACGAATACTTATTTCAAACAATACTTGATAAATTATTTGTATTTGGGAACAAGAAAAACATTATATCAAAAAGCTGCGTTTCCTCATGAGACCGCACTGCATGCCCGCGTGAGTGAGTGAGTGAGACGTTCAGGAGTCGGTGGGCGGGGTGGGGCCGGGGTAAGGAGACTGAGCAGGCTGCTTCTCTATACAGCAACAGAGAAGGCTTGGCAGAGCGAAAAATACTTTTCTGCATTACTATTTTTGTTTATTTTATCATACTAAAATAACACGTGACAGAAGTTCACTCAAAAGTGAAAGTTCTTTCTGTTATTTACTAACACTCCCATCATTCCTACTACTTTCAGAACATAAATTTTGATATTTTACCATATGAGAATGCAATGCAGTTATGAAAATTAAGAAATTAAAGCAATACAGAGATCTGGTCCCCGCGTCAGGTCAGGGTGCACCTGTAACCTTAAAAACGCAGACGCGGCGGAGGCGCACTAAACTCACACGGGAAAGAACTGGGCATTCAATTCATGTTTTAGTGAAATAATTATTTAAATACAGCTCTTTTGATCTCTAAAGAGGAAAAAAGCAAAAGAAATTTGTCGTTAAATTAATTTTAGCAAAGACGCAACTGCCTGTCATTTTCACATTCGTTTTTCAGTTAGGGATTTGGTCTATTAGAGTAACCTAATAAAATTCTTTTGTTGAACACTGTAGTCTACACAATAATAAATATTATAATTTATTATATACATTAGTTATTATTAAAACTAAACTATACAATTGATAAAACAAAACCCTTTTTAATGTTTGCTTTCATTTTGACACCGCTAACAGTTGTAATAAGAAACATCACATTATGCAGAAGCATGCAGTCTCAAGTTAAAAACACCTTTTGAGTTTAAAGATGATCAGCCTGCCAAGTCAAGTTTACAGTGTCATAAATGAAATGGGTAGCATGAGTAAAGGGGATTTGCCCAGCACACAACCTCATGCGCTGCAGGTAGGCTGAATGATAATCTTTAAAAATATATAGGCTATGCAATACAAAACTTTAAACATTTATTTATTTTTTAATGAAAAGAAAAGAAATCAGGAGAGTAAAATATAATTTAAACCACTGGTCTGGCGCTGATACTTTATTGTTTGTATCCAGAAGAAGGGGAAAAAAAGCAGATGAAAACCTGGCTGGGGAGACGGCGATAACATATCAGTTCTTCAGCAAAGATCACATCATTGTGATGCGTTTATCATACAACGCAGTTCGTGTTTATAATCATTAATATTAACTAGGATTAATTCTCTCTCTAGACTTAGTTTTAGGGCTTGTTCTTGTCGGCGCAATATAGCCTCGGCTTATTGCACGTACGAATCCGATTGTGAAGAATGATTAAGCGCTTGCATTTTTTATTGCATCCTTTTCGCAAGTTATTCATTTGTTTTGTTTTTTAAGTGGTGCGAACATTATTTACTGGCAAACATGTTCCTCGATCTCGTACATCAACAAGTAATGTAGCCTACTTAAGTTAATTTACCTTTTATGTAAAAATTAAGGAATAACCGAATTTAATATTAATAAATAAAACATCCGTATAAATGTACATGTTTATTTTTTAACTTTCGTTAATAAAACAACACAAAACTGTTTATAAATATTGTAGTTAAATATTACATTACTTTAACTGCTTGAAACTGTATAATAATAACAATTTAACGTTACATTTTTAAGAACTTAACAAAAATTCTAAATGGCACTTTACTAATCAGTGTAATAATAATATAAATATTAATAATTATACGTAAAAAGAAAATATTAACCTAGTAACAATATAAGTCAGATGTTTAAAAAAACAGCGTAGTTTCTCTCCACCTTTTGTAGTCATATTTTTAATTATTTGCCAGAAAAACTAACATGTTGACTTTGTCCGGTTTAAGTGAAGAATGGGGTTATAATGTTTCCAGCAATACACTGTCAGACGGTGTGCTTGTAGCGAAAAATGCACAGACAGGATACTTTTTCACAACCATGCGAGAGAGGGCTTCTCCTTCTGTTCCACCGCCCGCATTTCTCGCAACGCAGGTTTCTCTACGCTGCGGAGCGGCGCGTTCTTAACTAGTTACCAAATAGCCTATGCTCAATTTCTCGTCAATGTCTTCCATTTATCACTTTCTCTTTTGTATCTGGCCATTTTTGCAAATGCCTCTGCCATGCCTGGCTGAGCTGGGCTTCTGCGTTTAGAAGACAGGAGTTGACATGGCTTTTTTCCCTCGCCGTCAATCGCCACTAGCTTGCATGGTTCGGGACGTATCGATGGATTTGCTCCTCAGTGTTTGGACTCTTAGCACTCAGCAGTGAATATTAAAACACACTTTACTTAAAACCCCCATACAAAAAGCTTAATCCAAATTGATTCGTTCACCTTTCTAGTTCGGCACGAATCCAAATTGTTCCCAGATGTAAAAGTGCGTTTTCTAACAAGATTCATGGTTGAACTTGAACTTGCTGAATCGTACCTAATGTTATATTCTAACAGATATGTAATACTTGGCAACATAACAGTAATTTGTGTTTTAAAGTGCGTGACGTCACGTACTACGGCCGGTGGCAATGGACAACCGAGGTGGCAATGACCACCGCGGTGACGCGGTTGTCATGGTGACCGTCACAGCCCTAGTTTTATATATATATATATATATATATATATATATATATATATATATATATAAAATATCGCAATATATATCGCAGAGGAAAAAAATATCGCAATGTCAATTTTTTCCAATATCGTGCAGCCCTACTTTGTGGATTCTACTGCGCTACTTGACTAATAAAATAGCTTCGCTACTGAAAAGCTGTTTGATTTAGAAAATAGCGACGCTACCGTCACGCTACTGAGTAATCTAGTTAAGCTAGTAGCGTCACTACTTGTAGCGACGCTAATGCCCAACACTGGTATTACAGCAGTTGTTGATATTGAATGAATGAAGGAAAATAGTTTGGGCAAATATTAAATATTTATATAAAGAAGGTGACTGGAAGATCGGTGTACCTCGCTGAAGACTGAAATAATCGTGATTTTATAGTTGTTGTCTACTATTATTTGTTTATATCACTTAAATAAAATGCTGTTTTTTCATATTTATTTCAGGCCTGATGGAGGAGACACAGCATGTTAAAATGAGAGGAAAAACAAAATCACTGAAGGGAAAAAACAAAAAACGTGTCACCTGCACTCAGTGTGGAAAGAGTCTGGCAGACAAAAAGAGTCTCACGATCCACATGCGGATCCACACCGGAGAGAAACCAGTCACATGTTCTCAGTGTGGGAAGAGTTTCAGAGACTCATCAGCCCTTAGTAGACACATGTTGATCCACACTGGAGAGAAAACACACAAGTGTGATCAGTGCAGCAAAACATTTCTTAGGGCTTCAGAGCTGAATGATCACCTTAGAGTTCATTCAACTGAGAAGCCTTCATGCTCTGTGTGTGGAAAGAGTTTTGCAAATGAAGTAAATTTAAGAAATCATCAGAAGATCCACACCGGTGTGAGAGAGTATGTGTGCTCTGAGTGTGAGAAGACCTTTATTACAGCTGCAAACTTACAAAAACACCAGATGATTCACACTGGAGAGAAACCGTACAAGTGTTCACACTGCGACAAGAGATTCAGTCAGATCTCGCATCAGAAAACACATGAGAGGATTCACACTGGAGAGAAACCGTACAAGTGTTCACACTGCGACAAAAGATTCAATCAGTTAGGAAGCCGGAAAATACATGAGAGGACTCACACCGGAGAGAAACCGTACAAGTGTTCACACTGCAATGAAAGATTCTGTCATTTATTAAGCCTGAGAACACACGAGAGCATTCACACTGGAGAGAAACCATACAAGTGTTCACACTGCGACATGAGATTCAGTCAGTTATCACAAATGAAATCACATGAGAGCATTCACACTGGAAAGCAACCGTACAAGTGTTCACACTGCGACAAAAGATTCAATTGGTTAAAAAGCCAGAAAAGACATGAGAGGACTCACACCGGAGAGAAACAAGCGAGATTCGATCAGTCGGAAACATTGAAAAACACACAAGAGTGTCACGTCTGAGACAGGGCTGTTCGATTTTGGAAAAAATCATAATCGCGATTATTTTGGTCATGATTGTAATCACGATTATTCAAAACGATTATCAGTTGAAGTCAAAATTATTAGCGCTCCTGAGAAATAACTATTTATATATATATTTAAATAATATATATTTAAATAACTATTTCCCAAGTTAAGTTAGAGCAAGGAATTTTAACAGTATTTCCTCTAATATTTTTTTCTTCTAGAGTGTTATTCGTCTTAATTCGTGGATTTGTCTTCTAAGTCTAAATTGTTTTATTTTAGCTTGAATAAAAGAAGGTTTAAATATTTTGAAATCCATTTTAAGGTCAATATTATTAGCCCCCTTAAGCTATATATTTTTTGATTGTCTGCAGAAGAAACTACTGTTATACAATGACTTGCCTAATTACTCTAATTAAGCCTTTGAATTGCATTTTAATTTGAATGCTTGTATTTTGAACAACATCTAGTAAACTGTTATGTACTGTCATCATAGCAAAGATAAAACAAATCAGTAATTAGACATTCATTCATTCATTCATTCATTTTCTTGTCGGCTTAGTCCCTTTTATTAATACGGGGTCGCCACAACAGAATGAACCGCCAACTTATCCAGCAAGTTTTTTTTACGCAACGGATACCCTTCCAGCTGCAACCCATCTCTGGGAAACATCCACACACACATTCACACACTCATACACTACGGACAATTTAGCCTACCTAATTCTCCTGTACCACATGTCTTTGGACTGTGGGAGAAACCCACGCGAAGGCAGGGAGAACATGCAAACTCCACACAGAAACGCCAACTGAGCCGAGGTTCGAACCAGCGACCTTCTTGCTGTGAGGCGAACGTGCTACCCACTGCGCCACTGCCTCGACATATAGTAATTAGACTTGATATATCAAAACTGTTATGTTCAGAAAAAAAAAAAAACTTCTTTCCATTAAACGGAAATTTCATTTCTCGTCGTTTGATTAATGATAAAACAGGCGCCAGCATTTCGCACTGTCACTTTAATGGTTTCTCTTTCACGTGTCTTTTGATTCTCAACTTGTTTGTTTATTACGCAAATGAGGGTTAATATGAATAATCACTAATCACTGCGTTTTGACACCTATTTGACCATTAAAGCGCTCATGTTAAGATTACTTAGATGTCTGCGCTCCTCTGCAGGTCTCAGTGTGCGAATGAGACCGAATGCTGACCGCGTGCTTATGCGTGCGCGTGTTGCACACACACATAAGCACGCGGTCTTTCATGCTTTTGGTATGATTGGTATATAATGCAATAATCGTTTATCTTGATTAATGGTTTTTCATAATCGTTAGAAGCCATAATCGAAATCGGATTTTCGATTAATTGCACAGCCCTAGTCTGAGAGTAACCTTAACATACAGATATGCAAACTTGCTGTATTAATGGGTTATTCTGGAACAAATCTTTAATGTGACTCCGAATAACGAGTCCTTTCAGAGTGATTGTTTCGTTGCTCTGTGTGCAGATAGGGGAAATTATTAAATATTTTATATTCTATCTGGTGTGAGTCGTTCATTAATCACATGAAATATCCCCATCGATAATGTGAAGAGATTCAGTCAGTGAAAAAACTAAAAACACCATAAGAGGATTCAAATTGAGAGAAACTGCCCGGATAACACATTTAGTGAAACATTTACTATTGTGGAAAGAGGATATATGTCTGAACATTGGAAAAATACTGGTGTAAGAGATCATTAAATGGTGGATATTTTGTATTATTACAACTTTGTTGTAAAAACTATTTGTATTAGTCTACATTATTATAAAACTAATTTTCTTATAATGTTAAATGCTTTTTGATTGCTTTGTTACATCATATCAGTAAAATATATGAACATTTAAAGTGTTTTCTGTGTTGCATGTCCACACTTAAGATGTTTACTTATGACACATGATGTCCACTGCAGGAAAGCAGAGATAATCGCTCGTTGTGATACAGATACACAAAACAAGGTAGGAACACCTCAGTAAAGAGAATAACTGGAAGAAATACAGGGATGAAATAAGAGAAATGAAACTGTCAGTCTACACTTTTTGAAATTAAATTTGAAATGAGTACAATCTTCTCCATACTGAACTCATTTGCTGTGTCCCATTTCTTATTCTTATACTAAGTTCTAGTCATCTCGACACATCCACGTTTCTTTCATATTTAATTGCCTATCATATTGGAGAAGCAGCAGCAGGTTAATCTGCCATTCACGAGTCTTTCATGCTGAGAAATCTCCTCAGGTATTTAGATAAATACACATTCAGAAGGTAAATGTCCAAACACGTCTTTATATTAGTTCACATTGTTGTTGCAGATGAAATATAACACAGACAACGTGTTTTAAATATTTTCCAGTCGGCTAGATGTCAATTAATAGTAATTCAAACGATGTTATCGAAGCCTCTACTTTTTGACGGTTGGCCTCGCGCGTCCGCCGTGTTTGTAGTTTGTTTACACTTTTCCCCCGATTATGTAGTACTGATTGATTCGCGTCCGACGTATAATAATATTGTGGGCAAAATTAGCTGTTAAAGTGCTTCAGATGTCTTACTGAAATAGCCGGAAATACACCAGAACCTTTGACATCCTCTTGTCAACATCCTGCGGTTTGGAACACTGATTTATTTTCGAACACGCGTTCCCGCCTTCCGCCATTCAAATACAAACCACATGATGGCGTCACCAGCGTGAACTTACAATCGCCCATAAACAAAGCAAAGCTGCATTTAATTTTGTTTTTTGCTCTTTATGCGCATCTAATGTGATTATTATGTAAAAGAAGCGTTACTTTAACTGTATTCTAAGGTGTATTATACAGTTTCTTAAATAATAATAATGAATAAACAAAGCAAAGCACTGCTGGGAAAGATTGCGTAACGGGATCCAGCTCAAATTAAGCGCTTCTTGTATCAGTAACAGATTCATTCATGTACTTTACTACAGTAAAACACTAAATAGTATTTATTTGTATTTTTATGTGGGCACTTCTATTTAAATGTGTGAAGGTGACTTTGTCTTTTAGTCACAATTAGAGAGTTTTATGTTGTATATCGGTGGTTTGTTCTCTGCAGATGATGTTTTCTCTCTAATGAAAGGGGATGTGGCGATTAGTGGATGCTGCTGTTATTGTCCTCTAGATGGCAGTAGTGCTGAGCACACAGTTAGCAGAGGCATTATCCGAGTAAAAGCTCAGAGCAGGGAAAACTCGTGTGGAGGTTCAGTGCTGAAGAAATCACGACAACACACTCCAGCTTTTATATTGAACCTTCTGCTGCCAGACTGTTTATCTGACGGACACTTCAGCTGCTTGCCTTTATTCAGTATATATTGGGGCTCAACTGTAAATTCCTCTACAGAAGCGATCAGGAACGCTGGACTTTATTTCAGCTGATATTTCATACACAAACAGGTATGATTCTGTCCTTATTTATGATTCTCTCCTTAATTATGTTTCTTATTTGTCAGTTCATATTTTCAGAGGGTATCACACAAAAGCAAGATAAAAGGATTAAGATGCAAATTTCAAGCTATCTTGACTGAATTATAACCCTGAGTCCTTTATAAGCAAGTAAAAATTAAGCTAAACTATATTAAGTTACTAAAGATTTATTCTTTGTCTTTATTACTGACTCGTAGTTCAAACTCGCCCATTTAGAAGCAAAAACTTTAATCATAAAGTAAACACAGAACAGAAGTCTGGAGCTCCTCCACTGGACTCTTCTTCTGTAGATGTTTTGTGGTGAATCAGCATTAAAGGTGCTCTACTGTCACCTGCTGGACTGGGGTGTGAAGCACTGATGGGCATTTTAGTTCTGTAAGCTGGACTGCTAGTTTTCTTCTTTTTTTTTTTGTACTTTTATTCATTCATTACTACAGCTACACGAATGATTATTATCCAAAGACCTGGGGAAAGTCTCTGCACGAAAGACTTGTGAATAGCAAGAAATGTGGATGATGTGTGGAGATGATTGAAAGGGGACGCGACTAAACAACATAACGCTCAGTTAATGAGGAAGGAGTATGTGCCAAAGTTTGCGTACTCTTCTGTTACACACTCAAATGTATGTACTTTTTAGGGCTGCAACTAACAATTATTTTACATCTCACAGCCAAACACGTTGTAAGATTACAGACAAAAGCGCAGATGAGAGCGATTGTGGTGAATGTTGATCCGCCAGCAGAGATCAATCTTGTGTTTTTTAGAGAGAGTACTGAAAGACTCGGTGGATCAGCTGTTTAATGGTCTGAATCTCAATGCGTTGCATTCACTGCGTGTTCAGCGCAAACGGCCGCTAAATGTAAAATTTAACACTGTACACATCATCGCTAAAGAAGTTTACCTTTACTAAGTTTAAACTGAAACTGCGGCTCATGACAAAGAACGGTGTTGTGCAGGTGCATGGGTCCCGCTCATATTTCGGGTCGGCTGACTCTCCTGCTTTTTTTCACAACCGAAATGTTTAAAGAGTAGTAGAAGTGAGACTTTTCTTCCTTTCTTTCGTCTGCTCTTTCATTGATTTTTCTATTTTGTTACTGATGACTGCTTTGCAGCTTTCAGCATTGAATTAAATGACTATAATCTTATGTTTGTTTTGTAGCAGAAATATTATTTATTAAATTGACATGCATATAAAAACAATAGTGCTAAATCTATATTTCTTACTGCAATGCTTCATTTTAGTTTGATGCAAACCGCAGATTTATTTGTCATAATGTAACAGTACTTTTGATAGCAGATAACACTTTCAAGCACATTCAAGGCAGCATATTGAAACATGCAATTCATTGTTACTATTATTGTCATCATCATCATCAATAATATATTCTATAATTATTAGACATTCAGTATCATTTATTCAATTTGCAGTGGTGCTCATTAATTTTTTTTGTGGGTGCTCCTAAATTTTTGAAGTTGGTACTTTGGAGTACCGGTGCTACCAAGTAGAGATGCAACGATATAAATTTTTTGGCAGATACCGATAATTCTTCAGACTTGGAGGCCGATATGTATGGGACGATAATTATAAATATTTTAAAATGTTATATTTTTATTCAGCAAACTTCATTAAAGATTTAACCTCTCTTATGAACTGAATAGTCTATATTCAAAGCAAAAAAAGCTATCCTTTCAAAATTGCATGGTGATTATAAAGACCTATATTCACCATTTCACATTTATCAACATGCAAAACATTTATTATTTCCTTTTCTTCATAGCAAATTAACATGCAACTTGTTGCATAAAAATAATAGGTTAAATAACAAATGGGATAAAAATGGGATTAAACCCCAAACAACATGGGATTTAATCAACAAGCAAATTAAATATATTTTAAATAAGATGAAAATGAAAGAGCGAAGTACTAAAACCAGCTCAAATGTACTTGAATAAAACGTGTTCAAGTGATGTACACATGTAAAATGTAATGTCCGAAAATGCCTTTTTTAGAGGTGTTTTGACAGTTCAGAGCCACCGTACAAGCGAAAAGCTAAATACAGATAGTATTACTTTAGAAAATGCGGCATAGATTCATCCTATTTGGCGTTTTAGATTCTTTTGAACACATGTAGCTGCTGCTTGTCAATCAGACAACGCTTCTGTGCTCGTTCTTGCTATCAATTGCGGGAAAAATGATTGATGAAAAGTTTATGATAAACCGCTGTGGGGTTCACTCAATTGCAGTTGAGACAAACACAGTGCAAAGAGAATGTGCGGCGAGTTGAGAGCCCCTCTCCCCTGTGCTGATCTGAAGGCTGTCAGATTAGTGTGTGTGTGTGTGGTGACATGCAGCCCTCACGCGCGCTCGTTATAATCAATATGAATATTGTGATCAAACTGAATACAATCTTACATCAACAACACATGGCAAGCAACGCGTTGATAATAACAAATAATCATATTAGATTACAAACAACCCATTGAGTTGTTAAGCACGTATGCATCTCTGCTATTATGTTTGCACATGTAATATTTTTTCCTGAAGCGATTTAAATCAAAATACACAACGCCACTCAATCAAACATGTCTACAATGATAAGGAACACGGTTACTCACTGAGTTATTAACACACAGCAATACCACATGAAGAAATGACGGACTTTAAAGGAATAATCAATGTGAGGAGAGATCTATTATAGTGCACTGGACAAGTCTAAACAAGTTTCTTAACAATAAAAAGTTACGTGCTGTATTAATTGGTTACTAAGCAGCAATAAACAACACTTTAAAACATAAGGAGTTTTCATCTGATTTCTAAACTAGTAGTTTTGAAATTAATAAATGCATCATAATCGTGATAACCCTGAATAGTTCTCTGACTATAATCGTACAGTCAAAATCTATAATCGTTGCATCCCTAATCTTGGATGACTAGGGTCGCACAGATTTCTCTGCCTTCTCCGCTTTCCTCTTAGAGCTGTAATGGCTCGTTTCCACTGACTGGTACAGTACGGTACGGTACGGGTCGGTACGGCTCACCTTTATCAAACTTGCGTTTCCACTACCAAGGGTACCCTTTTGTTGGGTGTGGTGTACATTAGAAAGTTTCCGTCGCATCATTCTCGCTCGAGAAAATGTCTACAATAAAGCTGTACGGGTCGCTCACATATCATATAAGAAGCACTTCTCACAAAACAGACGCTTTACACACTTAAATACTTGTGTATAAATGTTTAGTCATTATTTAAATGCTTCTCCTTTGTTTTTTCGCGCTTCACTCTCGCGTTTGTCAGTACCTGACAGGATCGGGTTACAAAAGCACGTCAATAATCAAGCGCACATTATTATCATCAGCTCAAGAAGTTCGTTATGTCAGATATAGACGCGCGGCGAGCGCAAGCAAGAAAGCGAAACCGCTCGCGCTTCAGACTGGCTCGTGAAAAACTATGAGGCACAGGGTAAATCTGCTCTGTATATAAAGACGGTGACTGGAAGATCGGTGTACCTTGCTGAAGACTGAAATAATCGTGATTTTATAGTTGTTGTCTGCTATCATTTGTTTATATCACTTAAATAAAATGCTGTCTTTTCATATTTATTTCAGGCCTGATGGAGGAGACACACCATGTTAAAATGAGAGAAAAAACTCACTCACCGAAGAGAAAAGACAGAAAACGTGTCACCTGCACTCAGTGTGGGAAGAGTCTGGCAAACAAAGAGAATCTCAAGAGCCACATGCGGATCCACACCGGAGAGAAACCATTCACATGTTCTCAGTGTGGGAAGGGTTTCAGAGATGCATCAAACCTTAGTAGACACATGTTGATCCACTTTGGAGAGAAAACACACAAGTGTGATCAGTGCGGAAAATCATTTCTGTTGGCTTCAAGCCTGAATGATCACCTTAGAGTTCATTCAACTGAGAAGCCTTCATGCTCTGTGTGTGGAAAGAGTTTTGCATACGAAGGAAATTTAAGAAAACATCAGAAGATCCACACCGGTGTGAGAGAGTATGTGTGCTCTGAGTGTGGGAAGACTTTTATTACATCTACAAGCTTACAACAACACCAGATGATTCACACTGGAGAGAAACCTTATATATGTTCACACTGCAGCATGAGATTTAGTCAGTTTTCACATCTGAAAACACACGAGAGGATTCACACTGGAGAGAAACCGTACAAGTGTTCACACTGTGACAAGAGATTTACTCAGTTGGGAAGCCAGAAAACACATGAGAGGACTCACACTGGAGAGAAACTGTACAAGTGTTCACACTGCAATGTAAGATTCGGTCATTTATTAAGCCTGAGAACACACGAGAGGATTCACACTGGAGAGAAACCGTACATGTGTTCACACTGCGACATGAGATTCAGTCAGTCATCACAAATGAAATCACATGAGAGGATTCACACGGGAGAGAAACCATACAAGTGTTCACACTGCGACAAAAGATTCAATCAGTCAGGAAGCCAGAAAAGACATGAGAGGACTCACACCGGAGAGAGACCGTACAAGTGTTCCCACTGCGACAACAGATTCAATCAGATAGCACATCTGAAATCACATGAGAGGATTCACACTGGAGAGAAACCGTACAAGTGTTCACACTGCGCATGAGATTCAGTCAGTTAAGAAGCCTGCAAATACATGAGAGGACTCACACTGGAGAGAAACAAGTGAGATTCAGTCAGTCAGAAACATTGAAAAACACACAAGAGTGTCACGTCTGAGAGTAACCTTAACAGATATGCAAACTTGCAGTATTGATGGGTTGTTCTGGAACAAATCTTTAATGTGACTCTGCAATAACGAGTCCTTTCAGAGTGATTCTTTCATTGCTGTATGTGCAGATAGGGGAATAGTTCAAGAGGTCAATAGTTAAATCAATATTTTTATCTGAAAGAGCTCAACTCTTTTAGTATTCACGGCACCCAAAATGTGTTAAACCCTGTCAATACACATTT